CCTTCTCCTCCTCCTCCTCCTCCTCCTCCTCCTCCTCCTCCTCCTCCTCCTCCTGCATTCCTTCCTCCGCATCATCCCCCCTCCCTCCCCTGTGTCATCGAATGCCGCTCTGCCGACGAGGGCAGCGCGCTCCGCGACGGTCCTGGAGGCCCCTGGCATCGCGGATGCCGTGGTCCAGCAGGATGGTGAAATGCTCCACGTCCCCCACGTAGATGTCGTAAACGGGGGTGGCCTCCGCAGGGGGTGAAGCCTGCGATCTCTACTTTCTCCGCTGCCTCCCCTCGTCCCCCCCCCTCCTCGTCCTCATCCTTAACTCCTTCCTCCTCCTCGGCTTCCTCCTCCTCCTCCTCCTCCTTCTCCTCCTTCTCATCGCTGCGTTTGCTGCGTCCTCCTGGAGGCCTTAGGCTTTAGGCTGACACACCCGGCTTGCTTTAGGTTTGTGCCACCAAGCGAGCCGCGGGCGTGAGCCTAGGCACAAGCTGATGCGGGAGAGTTTTGACGTCTCGTCCTGGCTAAACCCCCTGGGGAGGAGTGACGCTTCGCGCGGCGAACACGGCGTGCAAGGGGGGAAGGGGGGCGTGTTCCAGGAGGCTGAAACGCGGTGACCAGGAGCGAGCCTGGGCGCGAAGGACGGTTCAGTCCCGTTTGGGAAACGACGACATGCCCGACTTGGTGAGGAGAGAAGGAGGAAGAGGAGGGGGAGGAGTAAAACGCCGACGAGGAGGTGAGGGACGGAAGACTGGGGAAAAAGACGACGAGGGGGGGAAGCACCCTTCCTCAGGTTGCTGACTGACCATGCATAGTTTCTAAAGCCAACACGTTCGCCTATACAACTGGGAACCAGTGCCAGGTACATACATACGTCCAAATCCGCTAGCCGTTCGGCGTGTGTGAGAAGCTGTCGTCCTCCTCCTCGTCGTCGTCGTCGCCAGTCCTAGAGAAAAAGGACACGATCGGAGACAAGAGACGTCGTGGTTAATTCAGCAGGGACCGACCGTCCCGGCATTTCTATAGGCCTACCACAACATGTTCTTAGAACCCAATTATGTTCTCAGAACAACAATGTTCTTAGAACATAATCTGATGTGCTAAAACAATCTAGTCCCAGCCAGAGATGGTCTGAGAACATTTCGTGCAGACCACAAAAGGTTCTTAGAACACTCTTTGGTAGGCCTATAGGCAAGCTGGGACGCTTCGCCACTGCTTGAGTTCAGTCGATTCCCTCCCCGTTCTCCCCTCTGACGGAAAAGGGGGGGTAGGGGGGGGACATGGGTCCCGGGTCAGAATGCCGACCCCCCTGGGGTCCTGGCGGGTATCCCGCCTTGGGGGAGCGCCAGCGGAGGTCCCGCCTTCAGTGTCGGCGGCTACTGCCATGAGGCCTTCACAACACGCGTGCTCTCACGAAGCCTTGTTGGACAGCTTCTCAGGCGGGCGGTCTCCAGTAGGCCTTGCCGCCGAAAATGTTCCCAGGCCCCTGGTGGCCCTTTCCCATGGCGCGCCCGGTGCCGATCGGGATCCAATTCTTCACCTTGGCCGGCTCGTTGTACTTCGCCATGAGGCCCTCGTCGGCACGGATGGCGTCGAGAGCGAGCTGGGCCACGCTCTGCTCCGCGTCCTGCCGCTTGTGGCACACCTCCCCGGCCCAGATCTGCAGCCCCCAGTCGTCTGGAAGCCCTGGCATGCGGACCGTGGACTGGTAGCCGCCGACCACCTGCTGCGTCTCGTACAGCACCTCGTCCTTCTCCAGCACGCGCCGGAGGATCTTCCCGACGTGCGCGTTCAGGTTGCCTTTCGCCGAGATGGACGGATCCAGCTCGGGCTGCGGGTCCCCCGGCTTGGGCGGCGGCGGCGGCGGCGTGCCTGGGGGCTGGGTGGCCGGCCGCTTCTTCTTCTTCTTCGGCGGCTTCCGCATGTTGTTGATCTGCTCGGCGTAGAAATCGAGGATCTGCTGCGAGGCGAGCGCCTCCGCCTCCTTCTGGCTGTTGGCCACCGCGCCGGCAAACTCCTGCCCCTCGATGCAGTTGAGCTTCACGGTGGCCTGGTAGCCCTGGGGGTACTTCGTGACGGTGTAGATGACGTCCTGCTTGTTGATGGGGCGGTTGCAGAAGCGCTGGCAGAACTGGTTCACGCCCGTCTTCGGGTCCTTCTTTTAGGTCGGGCATGTCCCCCTAGAACGCGATTCTTTATCATCGGCGATGATGGGCGTCATGGGGGGGGAGGGGGCGGGGGGGCATGACGTAACGCCCCTCCCCCCCGCCGTGCGGCTTCGGCACCAAAGCCGCGCCCGCGCGCAAAACGACGATGAGCGACGAGCGACGAGCGACGAGCGACGAGCGACGAGCGACGACGAATACGACGACGACGACGACGACGACGACGACGACGACGACGCGAGCAGCATGCATGTGGCGATCTGCCCCACAGAGCCTGTGTACACCAGTGCTCGCGTGCACCACAGCGCTTGTGTACACCACAGCGCCTGCGTACACCGCAACAGCCGGGTGCAACGCAGCGCCTGTGCACACCACAGTGCTTGCGTGCACCACAGCGCCGGTGTACACCACAGCGAATGTGTACACCGCAGCAGCCATGTGTAACACTGCGTCTGTCTACACCACAATGCTTACGTGCACCGCAGCGCCTGTACACAACACAGCTCTTGTATACACCACAACATCCGCGTGCAACGCAGCGCTGGTGAACACCAAAGCGCCTGCGTGCACAGGACAAGTAGAAAGAGCATGTCGGCGAGGATCTGGTGAGGACAGCTAAACGCCACGCCAAGGAAATGCTGAGAATATAACGCGAAGTGTTTCCCTCCTCCCTCCTCCACCTCCGCCTCCTCCTCCTCGTCCTGCTCCTCGTCCTCCTCCTCATCCCTCACCCTTCCCCCCTCTCGTGCGGGTCGGCACTACAGCGCACGTGCGCGACTCAGCGTGCACCGCAGAATGGTCTATTCACTAATGCCGTGCTGAGTACACGCAAGCATTGTGGTGTACACTCGTGTTGTGTTGCACACGGCTGATTTGGTGTACGCTGGCGCTGTGGTGTACCTCTGGTGCCAACAGGCACTGTGGCACACACTGGCGCTGTGATGCACGCGGCTGCTGTGGTGTACATAGGCGGCGTGGTGTGCACAAGCACTGTGGTGCACGCAGGCACTATGGTGTACACAGGCGTTGTGGTGCAGATCGCCACCGACATGCTGTTGCTACCCGTCGTCGGTGATTCCTAGGCATTCCCAGACGCCGCTGGCGCGAAACGTGACGTCATCGGCCCCCTCCACCCCCCCAGATGAATGCCGTCATCGGCCCGGAATAAAAATTAAAAAATGCTCCAGCTGCGTCCGCGCGCACGACGACGATGAGCGACGAGCGACGAGCGACGAGCGACGAGCGACGAGCGACGAGCGACGACGACGACGACGACGAAGACGAGGACGACGACAACGACGACGACGACGACGACGACGACTGCGGACCAGACTCCTATGCGGATTTCTATGCGGACACCTATGCGGATCACGATGCGCACGGCGGCAGTGCCCGAATCGCCCTCGGGGGGGGGGAACGTTACGTCAGAGGGGGGGGGGGGGGGGGCGGGGGCCATGACGCCCGTCATGCCCCAAGCAAAAAAGAAATGGGCTCCTACGGGCGGATTTCGGAGGAAGACCAAGTCAAACAATACTCCAAAATAGCCAAAAATACTCAACAAAAATCGTCTCCGGAATTTTTGACTCTTTTTAAATATGCCTCCTGTAGAGGGACAGGCCCGACTTCTACTCCAAGCGGCGAAGAGACAGCGCAGGGCCCGCGCAGGTTGCGGACCAACAGAACACCCGCCCGCACACCTGCTCGCTCGCAAGCACTGGGCTCGCGGCGGCGGCTGGAGGGGGCGCGCGAGGCCACAAGCGGCCCGCACACCTGCCCACTCACAGCAGGGCAGGAGCAAGCGCTGGGATCATGCCCGTCTTCGTTAGGAGGCAACAGCTGGGAGGTCGTCGTCGGAAGGATTAACGAGGATTAAGCCCCTTTGGGGGGCTGTTACGAAAAAGTGGGCATCGGATCAAGCAGGATTTAGCCTGATTCAGCGGGATGCAGCGGGATTAAGCCGGATCAAACCGGATTAAGCCGGACTGCGGACCAGGGCAAAATCAGAATTTGACCTTCCAGGAGTTGCATCCGAATCTTCGGGTCCTTCTTCGCCAGCCGCTCCCCGAACTCATGGTCGATCTCCGAGTCGGGGTTGCCGAACAAGGCGCGCGAGGTCATGGCTCACTGGGCCTCGGGGCCACGGAGCCTGCGAGGGGACACGTCAAGCCAGTGGCTCGGGATCTGGGAGTCCACGATGGGCCTGTTTTCCACCACCACCACCACCAAAGAAGAAGAACACAAACATACACATAAACTTGTGGCACTCCGCGCGGATTTCTCGGATTCGCGCTGGACCCCCCTCCCTGGCGCGCGGAGCGCGCCAGGGGCGGCGCCGGAGGCGCTGCCAGGAGCCCAGGCACGGATCCAAGAAATCCGCGCGGAGCGCCAAAAGTTTATGTTTGTGTGGTTTGTTCTTCTTCGACACGACAAGTTGGAGGGGGGAAGGAGGTGGAGGATGAGGAATAGGAGGAGGAGGAGGAGGAGGAGGAGGAGGAGGAGGAGGAGGAGGAGGAAGGGGAGGAGGAGGACCCCCTCCCCCCCCTACCTGTGGTGGTGGCGGTGGAAAACGAGCCCACCGGTCCAGGCACCTGGTCTCGGCCACCTGAGACGTGTGGCCTGAACCAGAAGCGCTCGACCTTGAGCCATAATGGCTGCCGGAAGACGGCGATGGAGGAGGAGGAGGAGGAGGAGGAGCAGGAGCAGGAGGAGCAGGAGGAGGAGGAGGAGGAGGAGTAGGAGGAGCAGGAGGAGGAGCACGAGGAGGAGAGGGAGAGATCGAGCCTGGCTGGGTGGATCCCGTGGTGCTCGGCGCGCCGCCTCGCGGAAACCCGCGCGGACCGCCCGCCTCCCCGTGGCCGACCTTCCGAGCGGTATACAGTCATCGTCCTGACCTAAGGAACGATACATGAGGAACGAAGCCCCTTTTCCATCCCAAGGAACAACGCATAAGGAACGAAAAATAACCAGTAACGCATAAGGAACTGTGCATAACGCATATAAAATCTAATGAACGGCCGAGCCCCTTTTGAAAGGTACTCCAGATTTCGTAATAAAGGGAGGGGGTCTCATTTCGGGGGGGGTCTCTTCCAGGCTATCTTGGAGGGCCTGGGGGGGTCTCGGGACGATGTTTTGGAGGGTTCTCCCACAGGGGGGGGTCTAAAACGTCTCGTCTGGGAGGGTCCAGACCCCATCCCTCTTATTACGAAATCTGGAGTAAGGAACGACCGAGCCCCTTTTGGAAAGTAAGTGATCCTTCTTCAGGCCGCTCAATGTATAGTCCGCCGTGCGAGGTGGAGCGCAGCGAAGGCGCAGCAGCGGCGGGTGGCGAGGACGCAGGACCCCCTGGAGGCCGGAGTTGGGATTTTTTTGAAGGGGCCCCAGGACACACAAGTAAATACACACAAATAGATAGGTTCCCCATACTTTCGCATATGTTCTTGGTTTCTGTCTTCCCCCCCACTTCCCATGTTTTCGCATGTTTTCTGGGGAATCGACGATTCATTGTGTCTGTGTTTTTGTTTTCCCCCTCCTGAATTTTGCGGACGGCGGGCGGCCAAATCCCGAGGGTACCCCGAGAGGCTGGCCAGCGGGAACGGCAGAGGACGGGCCGCAGAGGCAAGGACACAAGGGTGCCCCAGAGGAGGCGCGAGTCCTTGCTGTTTGCGTTGGCTGTATCTGATGTGCCGCGCTAGCGCCAATGTACCAAGGAATGCGAGTTCGCCGCAACACCAACAGTTCGCCGGGCCAACTGACAGTGCCCACTAAAACAACATCCTGGCGAAGGGCCCAAACATATGCAGTTGTGGGTATGACAGTCATGAGGATCGTCTTCGGTGGAACTTTTTTATGGGGCCGCGGCGCGTGTGAGGGGTGTGACGAAATAGGCGTTGAGCCACATGCGAACCCTGCCACTGGAGCCTTCGTTGGAGCTCCCTGTGGGGCCAGGAGGTGTCAGGGATGCGCCGGAATGGGCGGGGCACCGCATGCGAGGTGTGCCGAAAGGGGGGATGTCGCATGTCAAGCCAGCCACTGGGGCCTCCAGTGGAGCTCCTTGTGAGGCCACGTAAAAGGTCAGGGGTGTGTCGAATTGGCCGGGTTGCCCGCATGCGAGGTCAACCTCTGGGGCCCTCAGTTGGGGCCCCCTTATGGGGCCACGACGCCTGTGAGGGGCGTGTGCCGACTGGGGTGGGGACTCATGCGAGGATGGCCACTGGAGCCTCAGATGGATCCCCCGTGTCGACGAATCCTGAGTGTGCGGAAATGGGCGGGGAACCGCATGCGAGTCCAGCCACTGGGGCCTCAGGTGGAGCTCCCTATCATGCCTAGAAGCGTGGGAGGGGTGTGCCAAAATATGCCGGGAACCGCATGCGAGAACGGCCACTCGGTCTGTTGGTGGAGTTCCCTACGCGGCCACGACACGCGTGAGGGGTGCTCCGAAATGGGCGGGGGACAACATGTAAGTCCAGCCACCAGGGCCTCAGGTGGAGCTCCCTATGAGGCCACAGAAGGTGCGAGGACTTTGCCGAAGTAGGCGGGGAACCGCAGGCAAGTCCAGCCACTGAGTGGAGCTGCATATCGGGGCCACGACGCGGGTGAAGGCTGTGCGAAAGTGGGCGAGGAACCGCAAGCGAGGGTGGACACCTCGGCTTGAAAAGCAGCCCCTTATGCCCTATGGGGCCACGGAACGTGTGAGGTGTGTCCCGACATGGGCGAGGAACCGCATGCGAGTCAAGCCACTGGGATGGTCTTAGGTGGAGGACCCTATGTGGCCACGAAACGTGTCAGGGTTGTGCCGAAATCGGCGGGCAACGGCATGCGAGTCCAGCCACTGTGGGGCTTTAGGCGGAACTCCCTTATGGGGCCACGACACGTGTGAGGCGTGTGCCGACAGGGCCGTGAACCGCATGCGAGGACGGCACTTAGGGCCTCAGGTGGAGCTCCCGATGTGGACACGAAGCGTCTAGGGGGGGGGGGGGGGGAAACGGGCGGGGAGCCACGTGCGAGACGGCCACGGGGGCCTCAGGTGGAGTTCCCTATGGGGCCACGACGCGTGTGAGGAGTGTGCGGAAATGGGCGGGTCCATAGGTGGAGCCCCCGTATGGGGCCACGAAGCGCGTGATGGCTTTTCCCAAAATGGGCGGGAAACAGCATCCGAATCAAGCCGTTGTGGCATTAGATGGAAACCCCCTTATGGGGCAACGAAACGTTTGAGGGGTATGCAAAATGGGCACGCGGTGGGCACAGGCAGGGATGAGAGGAGGGGGAGAGCGACATGAGGAAAGAGGAGGAAAGGGCGCGGTGCGCTGTCTCTGCAAAACGAAGACGTAACACCACATGATGGCAAGACAAAAACGTAATTGTAGGGAGGGTGGTAATTACTAGCCGCTACACATGGAGGGGCCGCGTGTTGTCCATCCACCGACGGTCGAGAACAACGACATCACCTCAGATCCCCCTGAAATATTACGGACGATAAACAAGTGTCGGCATGTGCGTATGCTGTGCTTGATGGTTGCTTGTCCATCGGAAGATGACCCGCGATGGATCGGTGAACAGCGTGCGGTGCCCATACAACTACACATGTACAACCGTGAAACCTAATAAATAACGTATATGCATACACACATATATATATATATATATATATATATATATGTGCACAAGGTGAATGAACACGTTGGATGTGCACGTGTGTGAGTATAAGCACACACACACACATGCGCACTCCGCCCCCGTGCCCTTGAGGTGCGAGTGAGTGTTCTCAGGTTCCTCGTTGGATCGATCCCCTGGAGCCTCAGCCCTCAAATCCTGGGGATTTCCAGGGGCACGTACTTGTTTTATGGAGATTGTGTGTTCATGCTTTTGTTTATTTGTCATTATTAGTAGTATGAGTCTTAGTATTATGACTATTACTTTAGTATCATTATTATTACTAAAATTATTATTAATATGCGTAGTATTAACTTATAAAAAGAATAACTCCCGGGGCCCGTGCATGTGTTATGGAGGTTGTTTAAACAACAATAATAATACGAATGACAATATGACTTCAATATTTATGGAATAACAACTACTAACTATAATACTCGTAATAATAATAATACGAATAATAATAATAATAGTAATGATAACAATAATAAAGAATAAAAAATAATTTAATAATAAAACCAAAAAAATGTTTCGGAAATGTGAAATACGATGAGATAAGATATTAAAAAGTTAACAAAACGTACACACGCAACAAAAATATCTTATATAATAATGGTTTTAAAAATAAAAATAATATACATATATATATATAATAATAATAATATACATATAATATATATATATAAACAAAAAACAAAAACAAAAAAAAAAAAAAAAAGGCGCGCCGCGCCCCCCCCCCCCCCCCCCCAAAGGACGGCGCGAGACGGCGGAGGGGGGGGAGGAGGAGGGGGAGGAGGAGGAGGAGGAGGAGGAGGAGGAGGGGGAGGGGGAGGGGGAGGAGGAGGAGGGGGAGGAGGAGGAGGAGGAGGAGGAGGAGGAGGAGGAGGAGGAGGAGGAGGGGGAGGAGGAGGAGGAGGAGGAGGAGGAGGAGGAGGAGGAGGAGGAGAGGAATAGGAGGAGGAGGAGGAGGAGGAGGAGGCGGATGAGGCGGAGGAGGGAGACATTCCTGGACATTCCCCTGACGACAAAGTCGAGAGTCGCCGCGCCGCCGCCCGCCCACCTCAGGGCGTCTTCGAGGCGGCGGCGACGGCATCGGCGGCCCGCGGGCGGCCTGGCCCCGCGCCTGGGGGCGCGTCGGGCCGCGCCTGCGGCGCCCGCTGTGCCCGCCCGCAGCAGGGCCCAGGAGGAGAGGGAGGAGGAGGAGGAGGAGGAGGAAGGGGAGGAAGAGGACCCCCTCCCCCCCCGCTACCTGTGGTGGTCCACCCGTTTTGGATGCTCGTTCTGGGGACCTTCCTGGAGCCACTCGCTCCACTCGTGCGTCGAAGCTGCGTCGAACGTCAGTCGATTTGGGTCGACCCTGCGTCGAACCTGGGTCGAACCTGAGTCGAGCCTGACTCGAACCTGAGTCGAACCTGAGTCGAACCTGAGTCGAACTGGGGTCGAACAGATCCGCTAGGTGGGCTCCAGGAAGGTCCCCGAAACGAGCATCGAACCTTGGGCGCCCGAGTTATCCGGGGTAACTCGGGTCCGGGGTAACTCGGGTTCCGAATTCCCGAAAAAGGAACCCGAGTTAGCCCTGACCCGAGTTACCCCTGATGATTCGGGGCTCTGGACGCCTGAGTTATCCGGGGTAACTCGGGTCCGGGGTAACTCGGGTTCCGAATCCCGAAAAAGGAACCCGAGTTAGCCCTGACCTGAGTTACCCCTGATGATTCGGGGCTCTGACCGTTGGTCCGAGACGCCCATGGCCTCCAGTCGGCCGAAAAGGCGCCGCGGGGCCGGCGCCGTGCCGCATTCCCTGTTCGGGGCCGCGGGAGGCCCCCGAGACGGGCCGAGGGGGCCCAGGATCGGGTCGGGCGAAAGGGGGGGATAGCAAAGGGGGGGTTTGAGAATCAGCTCACGTAGCTGATTTTCCCGGCGCCTCCCGGCGCCGGAGGCGGCTATGTATCGAGGAATGGGCCCCTCGGTGAGGCCGAAACCAGCTGCATGCAGCAAATTTCGTAACCCCCCCTTTCCCAATCCCCCCCTTTCGCCCGGCCCGATAGGAGGCCCCCAGGACGGTGCGAGACGGCTCCGAATAGTCAAGCAGCTGGTGCGAGACGCCGACAGGAAGAGCGCCCGAAACGTACCAAGAGGCCTCCGAGAAGTCCAAAGAAGGCCCCCGACATTTCCTTGAGCAGTTCCATGGTTTGGGCCTTCTCACATCTTCGGCTTCCCGACGCTCCAGGACGCCTTGAGACGCCCCAACGATCGCCCCAAGACGGCCCGAGAGGCCTCCAAGAGGGCCCAACGGCCTAAGAAGATCTCAAGACGGCTCCAAGAGAAGGCCCAGACGAGTGACCCGAACTGACAGTTCGAGCCCTCGGCCCCGAAAGGCCCGCAGGAGGCCCAGAAGAGGCCCACAAGAGACCCACAAGAGGCCCCAAGAGGCCCCAAGAGGCCACCAGGAGGCCCCGAAGAGGCCCCAAGAGGCCCCCAAGTGGCTCCCAAGAGGCTCCCAAACTGTCTCGCACACCTGCTCACTCCAAGCACGAGAGCGAACAGAAAAAATGGTGGGCCCGCGAAGGGTGCGGGCCACGCAGCAAAAGAACCCTGCTCACCCCGAGCAGACGCGAGCAAGGAGTGTCGGCGGTGGACAAACCTCCCTTAGTAAACCTCCCTTTAGTGAAAACGGCCTGGGACCGAAACCGACGGACCTGGACCCGCAAAATTGACGGCCGCGACGCCCTCTCGCGAACCGAAAACGGCCATTTCGCTAATCGACGTGTCAGGGTAGGAGGTCTCGCCACCCCCGAGAGTGGGCCAGAGGAGACTGCGGGCCGGCAACGAGTGGTCTGCACAGCTGCTCGCTCAGAGTGGAGCACGATGAGTCGCTTGGCGCACGCAGACTGCGGGGCAACAAGAGAGCCAGAAAATCCGCCCTCTCCAAACACACCAAGGAAGGGCTGGGATTCGGGCCCGCGCAAATGTCGGCGGTGGACACACCTCCCTTTAGTAAACCTCCCCTTAGTGAAAACGACCTCGGACCGAAAACGACAGACCTGGACCCGCAAAAATGACGGCCGTGACGCCCCCCCGCGAACCGAAAACGGCCAATTCCTCAATCGACGTGTCAGGGTAGGAGATCTATCCACCTCCGATCCAAACACACCAGGGAAGGGCTGGGATTCGGGCCCGCGCAGATGCTCACGCTGAGCAAGACAAGGGAAAACGCCGGACCCGCGATGGAAGGCGTTGCGCAGAATGCGTCCCGGAACGCGCTTGGTTCTGTCTCCTGCCATGGTCGACCCCCCTGGCGGAACGACAGCTCCAGTGGCCAAGTCGGTGAAAGGGTCTCCTGGAGGCCCACCAGGCCTCCAAGAGGCCCCCAAACCCAGGCCGTTAGCTGGGGGCCCAGAACGTTTCCTGATGGAGCATGTTCTGGAGAGTGCGTGCCAGAGCGCGCTGGGATCCGTCTGCTGCCGTGGTCACCCACTCGGCCCGCCTGCCCGATCCCTCTCTCAATCGCTCTCCCCTCGCTGTGCTACGGTGCACCCCCGAAGATCCCATCTCCCCCGTCCAGACACCCCCCGCCTCCCTCGGCGAACCCTTGCTTCTCCTGCTTGCCCTTCCCGCTCCGCCCCCCCCGCCACCCCCTGCCCCCTGGGCCCCGCTCCCCCCGCCACAGCCATTTTGGCTGGCGAGGCTACCCATCCCTCGCTCTGATCAGCACGCCCGCCACCTCCCCACGAGCGTGCGGACCCTGGGAGGTCCCCTGCACGCTCGTGGGCCTTCCTGGCCCGGCGGCATGGGGCGAAGCCCTTACGGATAAACTCATTCACATCTGCTATTCAATGGGGGGGCAAAACCTGCCGGGATTACACCAAGACCAAGGAACTCGACACTTCCAAGCGCCAACGTGCCAACATCGTGGTCGCATGCTGGACTGTCCCACACTCCAGCACGCCGCAAAGCTCGAACACTGCCGGCATCCGCGTCGACCCCTCCAGGGGTGTCCAGTACCCCCTGCGAAATGCTTAAGAAATCCATGGGTTCAGAAATTCATAGTCTTAGATCTTGAATTAAACCCCAACAGTTCTATTAAAAACTAGGATTTACATTGAAACGTTAAGAATAATCGAGACTCTGGCCGAAAACTCAAGTTTTCTTAAGCATCGCCTAAGGTGTACCCCAGGATGGCCATTGGACCCGCAGTGGCAGCGAACGACAGTCACATGCGCGGCCGGCCCAGCCCATCGCGAACGGGCAGCTGCGACCTTAGCACACGAGCGCCTGGCACACAGCAGGCATTGCATCATTCAAATGTCACTGTTCAGCGAGCGAAGAACGGTGTAAAATAAACTTTTTCGCCGTCGGGGACACCTGCCCCTGGGCGGCTGGAAAGTTTATACCCCTACGGTGCCACCGTAAGGGTATAAACTTTCCAGCCGCCCTGGGGCAAGTGTCCCCGACGGCGAAAAAGTGTATTATTTTATACCGTTCTTCGCCCTTTAAACTGTGGTCGCGAAGATGCAGAGGACGACGACGACGACCTCGTGGGCCTCCTTGAACGTCCCCTCGCTGGCCTTCTGCAGCCCGCCGGCCGCGGTGTCCTCCGGGCCGGTCGGCGTCGCGGGGCGCGAGCGTAGACTTCCAGCCCCTTCTGGCACTGCTCCAGCTTCCCTCCTGCTGCTCCTCCTGCACCTCCCCACCTTCCTCTTACACCCCTTCCCTCCTGCATCCGTCTCCTCTTGCTCCATCCTCCTTTTATGAAGCTGCTGATCCTTCTCCCCCCCCTTCAACACCTGTCTCCTATGATGTCGTGCTGAATTGAGAAACGCTAGATCCTACAGTAAGTGCTTGCAAACAGGACAAAAGTGTCCTGTTTCCGATGTGGCTTTCTGCCTTTGACGAGCGGTGATATCGCTGGTGGGCTCGCAATATTTCAGAATGACCAGGCAGCAACCGTCCATTTAAACAACGCTGTCGCCGCAGCGGTGGCAGACATGGTTATACCCCTGCATGCAAGCAAACCGATTCATAACTTTGAAAGATGGTGGTTTCGCTGGTGCGCTTGCCGTAGTTGTATGTTCACCAAAGAACCCTCGTCCAACGGAGCGACGCTGTCGTCGAAGCTGTGGCAGCGGTGGTCGTGCTCTTGAATAGTTGGAGAAACTGTTCCTGCCGCTGGGTGTACCAACTTCCTATAATTCCGTCGATCTCCTATGGACCGGCGTTTTCGCCCCAACGCTGTCCGCAGCCCTGCATCAGCATAGCGGTGTCCCTCCTGCATCGCGAGCCGCATCAACTTTCGTTATCTTTCGTAGGGCTGCCGTCCAAATGATCGGCGCTCTCGCCGCGCTGCGAACAAGGATGTTGCCGAAACCCACATCGGCGGATAGAGAAAGTGTCAACGCAGTGGAACAGGATGAGGGAGAGAGGGTGCACGTCACAGATGACGCGAGCGCTTCTAGCTCGCCATTCCTCCAAGATCATCCCTCCCTGTCATCCCCCATATATGTACATATCTGAATATGTGCATCCGTATACGCATAGTTATACATAGAGAGAGACGAAAGCAACACACCTAAATTATATATGTTCGATACTTATGTATATATACATATATGCACATATACGTTTACATGTACATGTTCAGATGCATTTACACATGCATAGATGCATGCATGCATACATACATACATACATACATACATACATACTTATATACATGCATACATACATACACACATGCATACATACATACATACATACATACATACATGCATCCATGCATACATACATACATACATACATGCATGCATACATGCATGCATGCATGTAGGCATACATGCATACATACATGCATACATACATGCATATCTGCATACCTGCATGCATACATGCATACCTGCATACATGCATACATGCATACATGCATACATGTATAGATGCATGCATGCATACATGCATGCATACCTACATGCATACATGCATACATGCATACATGCATACATGCATTCATGCATACATGCATCCCTACATACATTCATACATACATACATACATACATACATGCATGCATGCATGCATGCATGCATGCATGCATGCATGCATACATACATACATACATACATGCATGCACACATACATGCATACATACATCTACACACAGACATATATATATGTATATATATACACATATAGATACACCACCGGGCCTGCAGCACGTGGTGGAGTGCCGCAAGACTCATGCAGCTTTGACATTCTAGAGTTATGATATGTTTCAAGTGCCCAGGCCACGGGATTCAGAAACAGTTCCTGGCATTCCCCAGGATTCCACGGTTTTTTTCCAGCGATTTCCAAGGATTTCTGGGGATTCCCCGGGGTTCCCCGGGCGTGGCGCGCGCGTCCTCCGGTAGCGCAGCCAGCCAAACATGGGCACCGAAAGCGCCCAAGAGGGCCGAAGATGTCTCTGACAAACCCCAAGAATGCCCCAATACGCTTACTGGGGCCTCGCCACGGCCCCAGAGGCCCCGAAGATATCCCAGGAGTGTTCAAAGATGCGTCCCAACTGGGCCCCAAGAGGCACACATCATTGATTCAAGGTTTTGAAGGGTTTGGGCCTTCTCGCCTTTTCGGCATTCTGACGCTCCAGCACAGCCCACGAGGCCCCCAAGATCGCCCAAGACGGCCCAAGAGGCCCCAAAGGATCCCCAAGACGGCCCTAGAGGACCCCAAGACGGCCCAACAGGCGCCCAAGACGGAACATGAGTGCCCAAAGACGGGCCAAAGATGAGGCCCACATAAGAAACCCGAACAAACATTTCGAGCCCTCTGCCCCGAGGTCCCCAAGAGGCCCCCAGAGGTCCCAAAAATGCCCCCAAGAGACCCCGAGATGCTCCAGAGACGCCCCAAGAGGCTTCCAAAAGAGCCCCAAGAGGCTCCTCATAGGCCCCAAAACTGCTCCGCCACCGAGAACGCCCCGAAGAAGCATCCCTGAGAACTCTGACCCACAACCCAGGCACAGTGGCATGGCCGAAGGCCACTATGCCACTATATATATATATATATATATATATATATAGATGTGTGTGTGTCCATTCATACATGTATATGGGTGTGTTAACTAAGCGGCCCCAAACTTCGTAGATATGTTGTTGACCAGACATCTGTATCTCAAAGAGCACAAACTCATATCAACAAATACCAACTATCCAAACACACACACACAAAAAAAACAGCAAGTAAACCAGGTGTTCAACAAACAACAACATACCAGCCACATGTTATCCAGCAGCTGCGAGCATCCCACATGTCAGTCTCATGAACAGGAGACCCCCATGCCCCTCCAATTCTAGATGTGCGTGGGCACGTGTGCCCACACATCTTGCGCTGTCAACAAAAGGGCACATGCGTACATCCGGCTGACGGTACCGTGACAGCGTGGTACACTACAAACGCATGGTCCCACGTACGTGCACACATGTGCACCGGAGGGGGGAGAGCGGAGTAGTAAACTGTGTGATGTGGGCCATCGGCGGGGAGGAGGCTTCTAATTAGGTGCTCTATCCATCATTCGAGTAAGTGTTTTACTTCGCATTTGTCCTGTCTCTCGCGATGGCCGGTGCGAACACGCGCATGGCAGGAACACCAATCGCAGCGGCTCTCGAACGCGACGTTCGTCGCCGCAGCCCACTCCACGAGGTGGACGACGCCGTGCCCAGAGCGGAGGTGCACGACGTAGCTACCCCTCAAACCCCTCAAGATACTCGCCCGCCTGCCCATTCACCAGCGCTCCACGAGATTGCAAAGCTTCTACGGCAGGAGGTTAAGCCACTGCGTTCGGCGATGACGAACCTCGAGAAGCGCTTCACCGAATTGGGATCGACATTCGAACTTCGGATGGTCTAGGTGGAAGAGAGGATCGAAAGCATGGAGGATCGCATCGCCAATATCGAAGCCAAGGAGGCCCGAGCATCCCCGTATATCAATACTGAAGTTTGGGTGCATATCAAAGCGTTGGAAGCAGATCTCTCCATGCTCAAGACTGACGCATGAACGCCACCACCTCCGAGAAGCATCTCGTCACGGCCGTCATAGGAAGTCTACAAGCGCTCCGCCTGGAAGAGGCCAGAGAGCGGTCGAAAGACACACTTTGGGACTGCCCCCGAGATCGCGGATGTGATTGCTAAAGGGAACTTCTGGGGCACAATCTTCGCAAAAAATTCAAATCCAGAAAGCGGCCTGTAAAGAGAGGGGCAAGCCCGTGTGGGCGAAGGCGGACCAGGTGCTGTCAAAGAAGTGGTGAATTCCTCCGTGTTCGGGGCAAAGTACATTCTTAAAGGAGTGGGGGTACACCAACGAGAGTGTCTGGGCAGACCAGGATGAGGGGAAGGTCTGGGTGGGAAACGAGATCGCAGTGCGGGTGTCGATCGAAAGTGGGGCCTGGAACGTCACGTACGGCCAAGGCTGGAAGGAGTGGTTGACGCACGCTCTCCAGAGTTCCCAGACATGTTTGAAGGGGAACTGGGACACACAAATAAATACACCCAAATAAAAGTATCGCCCATATTTTCCCATGTTTCCTGGGGTTTTGTCTTCCCCCCCACTTCCCATATTTTCCTATGTTTTCTGGGGAATCGAGGATTCATTGTGTCTGTGTGTTTTTTTCCCCTCCTGAATGTTGCAAAAAGCTCTCAGACAAGTCGTGGGGGGGGGCACCTGTGAAGGGCGCAGGTAAGGGAGGGCCCAAGGGGGAAGCCAGAAGGCAAGCGTGCCTCCAAGTAGGGGTGCCAGCGGCGCGAAAGCAGGGCAGTTTCACCAGAGCAATGTGGAGTTTCGCCCGATTGGCGTCTCAACCAAATTTTCTCCGTTTCCCATTCCTGCGGGAGCATGGAGGCGGCGAAGCCGTTCTACCATTATCCGTGATCCGAGGTTGACATGTGCGACCCATCAGGGAAGACGGTTTCAAGATAGGTGCATGGGACGTAAAGGAGGGCTACACCGAATCCAAGCAGATCGAGCTAGAGGTATCATGAAGAAGGCCAATCTCATGCTTATATGCGTTCAAGAGACGTGGATACCCAAGTCAGACGTGTTCATGACAGAGTCGGGCTTCCTTGTCGTACTGTCTGGCGGCACGGGGGACGAGGAGGGCGAGGTACGGGCGGTGGTGGGCATCATCATCGCCCCGGCCTTCTGGCAATCCATCGTGGGTGTCCAGCAAATGACAGCGCGAATGGCATCGCTTAAACTACGGATCCATAGTGGCAAGGCGGTGATATTTTCAGCGGGCGCTCCGCAGTGGGTATTTACCCGCGTCGCCAAGAATTCTTCAACGCCTTGGGTGGTTGTGTTACGTCTGGTTCATGGCCCAAAAAAACTCCTTGGGGATCTGGATGCAAGATTGTGTACGCCTTTCGATGGTGAGGAACACGTTGTTCGGCCCTACATGTTCCGACATCCTCAAACTCAAGACAGTTGCAAAGAAGATGCAAACAGACACCTCCTTGTCGAATGTGCGAGCCCCTTCGCATGTGCCTCACCAACACGCTCTTTGACGTGCCAATCGAACAGCTGGCCACAAGCAATAATGTAGGTTGCCCAGCTG